CTTTCTTCTCCTCGACTTTCGGTTCCTCCACTGAATTCCCTCCAAACAGGTCATCATCTTCATCACTGAACAGACTGGCTTTCGGTGCCGCTGCTGTTGTTGCGGATGGTTTAGGTTTCGCTTTGCTGATTGAAACTTCAGCTGTGCCGTCAAGAGGCGGAACCGTTTCTGATATGGCCGCTGATAAAGGTGACACGGACTCAAATGACTTCTGAGGAGACTGGAGAAAACGTTTGAAAGATAAGCAGTCATTCTTCACTAAGCGCGCACAATGACAAAGACATCTAATATTTCCGAAAGAAATTCATTCATAGAGGTAGTTAAATTTACCATCATTTTAAAACCTGTTTACTAATTATTTGGTATTTATTGTTTTGTTTTTACCGTCGACGCTATAAAAATATCCTCCGATGTGCCTCCAAACATCCCTTCATCATCGTCATCAGCATCAAACAAAGATTGCATTTTTGAAGAACTCCTATTAGGCTTGGTTTCTTCCTATAAAAAATTAGGAAAGTAAAACAATGAAAGAAGAAAAGCCACGAAGCCTCAATCAGTCAGTTGGTCAATCAATCAGTGAGTGAGTGAGTGAGTCAGTCAGTCAGTCAGTCAGACAATCAATCAATCAATCAATCAATCAATCAGTGAGAGTCAGTCAATCAATCAGTCAATCAATGAGTCAGTCGATCAATCTATCAATCAGTGAGTCAATCAATCACTTGGTCATTCAATCATTCAAGAAATCAATCAGTCAGTCGCCATTCAGTCAATAATTTGAGTCAAGACGGTCCGTTAATCAATCATTCAGAAAGAAAGTCTGTCAATCAGCCAATCACGTCAATAAAAATACAAAGCAATATCTAAGAGCAAATCGAAATATTCATAACCAATTTTTTCCCTATAAAATACTCAGTTTTACCACATACTTTTTTGTCCTCCTTGCGCGTGACATTGGGAGAGGGGGAAGGTTTAGGTGATGGCGAATTGAACAGATCCTCGTCATCATCATCAAAAAGCCCTGAAATCTTAGCGCTGGGTGCCTTAGTTTCCTGCAGTAAAACAAAGTGTTCATGAAGGGTTCCAGTCAGAGACAATTTAGTAATTGATCACTCAGTGACACGATCACGTTTAAAACATAACCTGAAATAGTATTATTTTCCTTTGCACCAACCACCAACTCACTAAAATCTAGTTCTGTGTGAACAGTTATGGTTAAGCTTCCAGGAAAAGCTCTCTTCATCAGACTAACAGCAGTCCGGCAGCTTTTTAGAACCATGTAAATTTAAAGCGTATATTTCATCGCGTCTTATTCTTCGCAATTTTTCTAATTAAAGGCACCTGCAACAGCAACCAGTTACAAAAAAATCACTAACTGAAATCAGATTTGTGACTTTGACTTCTTCATTGGGCTATGAAGGCATCTGTAACAGCAACCTGTTACAAAAAAATTGCTGAATGACCTGAATGAAATTAGATTAGTGACCTTAACTTCCTCCTTGGGTTTGTCCTTGGTTGGCTCATTCTTGGCTGGTTTTGAAACTGCTGGTGCAGCAAAGAAATCCTCCTCTTCATCCTGTTCATCATCATCATCAAACAGACTAATCGTTGTCTTTGTTTTTGGTCTGGACTTTGGTTCTTCCTTGGGCTGTGGTTTTGTAGCTGAAGCCCCAAACAACCCTCCCCCTTCTTCCTCATCTTCATCACTAAATAGTCCTCCCCCGGATTTTGACTTGGTTAGCTGAGAAGCAGGGGAAGTTTTTACTTCGGTCTTTTTAGGTGCAACGGCGGATGCCTTGAACAACCCAGTATCATCTTTCTGTGGAGTAATAATAGCAAAAGAACTAGTTAAAAAAAATCAAAATCTAATTCAAAAGCTCTCAACAATACAATCAGTCAGGACTGACAATATAATCTTAGATAAGAAGGTCATTTTAAAATTTCATTCTCAATTATAAAATTGGAGGGAAAATTTTTAAAGCAAGTTGATGTTTTCAAATCACCCTTGGGCATTGCATTCATCTTTCGTAATATATTTTAGCTTTCAAATAAGATATCTGTTATATAATGTGTTTCACAATGTGAGGTATTCATAACTCCCTATAAGCAAGGAAAAGGTCATTATCATAATAATATCAAAGGGAAACTCAAGTTACACCGATCAAGTTAATGAGGTTCTACTTTTTATTTTCTACTGAAATGCAATCTATGCTAGAATTCTCAAATATTAGACAAACTCGCCTCTTCATCATCAACAGTATTCTTGCCCATCAGTAAAGGAGGTGGTGAACTGCCAAACATGGACACTGCACCAGCTGGTAGCTAAAGGAAACAATGCAAGAAACAGGAACACATTGCTCTAACCTGATGCACTTTTTTATTTAGCTTCTTTGCAGAGTAAACCATGTTATGATTATTCTCACCCAGTTTATCAGGACGATGAAGATCCTGGTAATTTGAAAACTGAGACATGCTGAAATAAGAGAGATTTGCTATTTTGAACACACCTTTTTCTTTGGGGGGGCCTGAGCAGGTTCTTTTGCCACAGGCTTTCCACTGAACAAATCACCCTCATCATCTTCATCATCTTCATCCTCATTGTCAGCACCAAACAGATCAACTTTATTTGCTGCTGGTTTGGTCTTTGCAGTTTCTGTTTCAAAGGAGAATGATAGTGTTTGTAACAATGATCACAACAACAACAACAACAAAAGATGAAACTACTCCTTTTTGTATCTGTGATATGAACCAAATTTGATCCCCTAACTCTTTCTGATTGTTTGAAAAAAAACTCCAACATGACAAAAGAAGTGTTTGAAAAAATTAACTTCTCGTTTAAAATCTCTGATTCAAGTACAAAAAAATTGAGGAAGAAATGGAAAAAGTGAGTATGCACAATGACAACAACTTGTCCACAATATTTTCAATCACTGAGACAATACAACTGAGGTGTTGTTGAAAATTTGCACGCTAATATAGAGATTCAAGAAAGATATCTACCTTGAACTACCGGAGACGCAGCAGATGGTTTAAAAGTTGTACCACTGAACAGATCATCATCATCATCACCATCAAACAAACCACCCCCACCCCCTCCACTCTTGGGTTTGGGTTTTGTTTCAGTTTCCTCATGCTTTTGATGGTTTTTAGTCAGACTGGTAGTAATGTCCTTAGTGAGAAGAAATAAAAAGAGAAGAAAGTCATATTATATACAATGGATGGAAATACCTCCAACACAAGAAAACTAAGAATATGCTGTAAGCAGTCAAAATTTTATGTTCTACATCAAGTGACCTAGTCGTAAGACAACAGAACAAACTTATAATATCATCCAACTACCACGATGAACAACAACCTATTTCAAAACATGCTGTAATAAAGTTGTCAAAATCTAAAGCGGGATTTGTTTTCACCCCAGCTTTTTTGTTTTCTTTTGTTGAAGCAGTGAAGGATTAAACCACAGATTACATCCCATTCCCAAACTCAAATTAATCCAAAAGGGCAAGAAGGTTTCAGATGCCAATAAGAACAAACACAAATTGCAGAAGCAGCTGATGTATACAGTATGTTTCCTGGTAGTAGCTCCAATTTCAGAAATTTGAGTAACAAAATTGTAATTGGTTCTACAAGTAGTTTTTCATGGATTCAAGCAAATAAATGCAATCCCTACTTACTCTTGATACACAAATGCAAAATGCTATTTGGCCATGACACATATATATAACAGAAACCTCAAAACAAATCAGCATCAAACTGCTAATTTTCACCTTTTCCAATCAAATAAACTGAACCCTCACCTCTTTTGTTGGTGATCCAAACAAACCAGAATCTAAAGGAAAGAATTGTTACAATTAATTTGCACATCCATCTCCCTGTATTGTCTTAATTAACACCCTAAAATTAATATTTATATTCACCACTCTGTTCTCTTTATATTTCCTATGGTTCTGATAGAGAGAATTAGCTCGACAATCTAGAGCTTCTTAAACTGGTGATAATTTCCTTTGTTCTCATGACCTTTATATTTGATTTAGAAGAGGAGAAATTAGAAGCCAATCACTCTTGAGACATGTGAACTGGGAAAAAAGGTAAATATACTTGTTTTGTAACATCCAGTCTGCCCAGTCATTTTCAAATAATATCTGAAAAAAAAATACCTCCAAATATCGAGATGGCTCCAGCTGGGATTTTTTTCCCACTTGCTGTGCTTCTTGCTCTGGGTTTAACTTGAACAGATTCTTCTTCTGCTGAAAAAGAAAGCACCAGTCAGTTACAGATAAAAAGAAATATTTAACTTTCAACATCCCTATACATTTTTAGTGCAAAATTTCCCAACCTTCTGTTGGTCCTTCTTGCTTGTTAGTTTTCGTAGTTGAAGCCTCAGCAAACAAGTCACCCTGTGTTTCAAAAAAATATATATATTTATAATGAAGTGTTGCACAATATTTAACAGTTATACACTGAAGTGGAGGTGAATAATGGTGGATATTTACCAAGCTGCAAGTTGGCGAGCCCACAAATTGGAAATAAAACATTTTCATTACAATTTTGTAACTTTCAGGATGCCTATGGTCATTTTCACATTCCCACATAGATCAACGATCTACTTGGCCCATCAGGGAAAGAAAAAATGTTTGCTAACATACAATTTTCAAAGAATTTGTAAGGTTTTTTCAGCCCTGCATCTGGGACAACAACAACAAAGATCAAGGCCAGGTGAAACAACATGCCCCTTGAAGGACCTGGTACAGGGTTGGCTAATCCCAGCATTCATTTGAACCCAGTATTAGCAAAGTCAAATATTTTAATGGGGCTTGAGATACATTTATCTTTACTTCATTGATTAAAAATTCAATACAGTGCAAAAAAAATTTCCAAAGGCAAACTCTACATTTTTAGGTGAAAGACCAACACTAATCCAAGTGGTAAAAGATTGTTGTCTAGATGATATGTGGTGAAACTTTTTTTCAAAAGCAGGAAAACATGGAGGAAAAGAGAAAAACCTTAGGACCAATGATAAGAACATACAAAAGCCTTTACTAACAAGTAACCCAAGTATTATGAGTCACACCTTGTCTTCGTCAACATCATCAAAGAGATTTCCTCCACCACTAAACAGCCCTCCTTTCTTTGTAAATGGAGTTCCTTCACCTCCAAAGAGACCATCTTCTTGAGGACTTGACTGGCTAAACAGATCTGACAAAAGAAGAAATGAACACTTGGAAAATGTATATAAAAAATATTCCTTAATTTTATATGACCATTTCTCACCATCCTCTGCGGTAACTGAATGCTTGTCCACACTAGAGTGGCTGGTCTTACTGCCACGTCGTTTTCTATGCTTGTGCTCTCCCTGTGACTCAGACCGCTCCCTTTTGTCATGATGTTGATGATGATGGTGGTGGTGGTGGTGAGACTTCTTCTCTTTCGTCTTGCTGTCACTGCGGCTTTTTGTTAAACTGTTTTTTGTCAAGCTGCGTTGTTTTTCCTGAACTTCAACAGTTTTAGACTCTTGATTCTCCTCGTCACTCCACTCACCATCAGCCACCTTATCTTTGTTATCATCTTCATCACTGTCTGGTTGCTTCACCTTTGCAACTCCAATTTTTGCTGCAAGTTCAGAGGCAAAGTCTAAACCACCCTTTGGCTGCGGAGAAAAAGAAATTCCTATTCAGCAGTCTACATCACCAGCCCTGGAATTATAACAATCACATCTATCACTCTCTTAACTCTTTAACCCCAAAGACTGATAGGCATTTCAGTTTTCTCCCAACAATATCACTCCTGAATCAAACCTAAAGGTCATAACAAAGAAAATGATCACAAACTCAAGAGTTTTTTTTGATCGTTGGAAAAATTCTCCTTGTAAGTAACATGGGAAATGTATAGAATACAGTGCATCCTTACATACTGATGTGAGAGTGTAAAGGGTGAAGACTCTTGTTATGGGCTCATTGTTAAAACTCTTCTTGAACAATCATACGGCTGTACTTCCTAATCTGATTCTCCTACAAACTCAAGTATACATAACCATACACCATTCTTAGCATGGTCACATTTTGAGGGTTTCTTTAACCCTTTAAACCCTAAGAGTGACAGGCATCTAATTTCTCCCCACAATATCACCCCTGAATCACACATTAAGGTCATGAGAATAAAGGAAATGATCACCAACAAAAGAAGCTTTTGATCAGTAAACAAATTCTCCTTGTCAGCATCTTAAGAAATGTATTAAGAACAATATGGAGAATATGCATATGCTTTCCCTTTCTTTTCATTTACTTGATCACTTGGTGAGTTTAAAGTAACACTTGAGAATAATGATTTGACAGTGCAGTGACACATCTCTTTAATAATTTTTTTCTTGCATTGGGGATGGTCCTTCTTTTAATAAGTAAGACTAGAGACAAAATCCCAAAACTAACAACATTTTCATTTTCATTTCTTAAGGCCCGATTTCTTTGCATGAACTAGTTCCAGCACCCATGACCTAAATCTGTTGTGTCAATAGCATTGTTGCCTCAATGTGCTCCCTGAGGCTTTCAACTTCAATTTCAACAATTTCACAGCCTCTTGATAAAGTCTAGTCAGGTGAACTTTAACCCTTTAATTCCCAAGATCTGATTATTAATTCTCTCCTCTAGCTGCTACACATTTCCTCGTAAATTAGTTAGGAGAATGCTGTGTCAGATCAAGATGACAACCTCTACCTGATAAGTTTGAGTATTCTCACTACCTGTCTGCTGGATCATGTATGGATATTAAAGGGAGAAGTTACATGTTAATCACTTCTGGAAGTTAAAGAGTTAACTGCAGTTCAAACCGTTTTACCTTCTTAGGCTGTTTTTCCTCATCATCACTCTTCTCATCTTCTTCATCTGAGTCTGGCGGCTTCTTCTTTTCACCAAACAGATCATCATCATCTTCTTCTGATTCAATAATTTTCTTGGATAAAGGTGAAGATTAAAAAAAAAAAAAACCTTAACCATGACAATCAGTACATCTTAGTTGCAATGAAGATGCTTCACTTCTGTTCTGGAAATGCTTATACATTATATTATTGCTGAAAGCCAAATCATGTATCAAATATTTCAATTTACACTTTCCACTGCTTTATGCATCTGTCTGTCTTAAATATACCTTTGGCTTGCTTTTCTGTTTTTTCTCTGTCTCTTTCAGCTTTTCTGTGTCTGATTCACTGCCACTCTCTTCGGAGCTCTATGAAGCAAATCAACAAACACACATAAAATCAAACTATCCAATGAAAGCTAATGACATCTTCATATCCTTTCTACAACTGGGGACTTCAGAAAATAAGTTCCATTAACATTTTTAATCATGTGAAGATAATACCTTTCATTATCACACAGTTTCAATGTTTAAAATTACAAAAACTGAATAGTATTCCATAATGGTTCAATCAAGATTAAGTAATTTTCAAAAAAGGTTGCAATGAAAACTGCCTCCGTCAGTAATTATGAAAATAATGATGATGATTATTATTATTACCTCACTACTAGATTCTCCACTGGCTGTGGATTCAGTTTCACTTCCACTGCTACTGGAAGACGCTTCTTCCTCATCCTCTTCACCTTCATCTTCTGTTTATAATCATATAATAAATGCAAAAATCATTTCAGCAATTCTCCCATGAAGCTGCTCAACATTTTCCACTGATTCATTCCCTGACAGTTCAGAGATGGCCCACGCAAAATTGTGACTTTCTGATTCACTTCAAGTACAAAATTATATTTACCTTCTCCTGAAGATTCACCCAAGCCAACCAGCTCATCCTTAAAGAAATCTCCACTTCCAATCAGATGTGGCAATGGACGATTGGAATAAACATCCTTCAAGGTGAAAAAAGAGAAAGTTGTGAGTGAGTAAAAAGACTTACAGTGTAAACATTGTTCCTTGTTAGGTCTTTATCCTACATCCTTCAAATGGCATGAAGCCTCCTTCACCATTAAGAAGCTGATTAACATAAAATCCAGAAAACATGGTGATTAGAAAATAGTTCACAAACCTTGGGCTCCAAAATCACTTGTGGCTTAAATGCTGTCTTGGCATCATCATCTTCTTCTTCTTCATCATCAGAATCTGCATGAGGGAAATAGTCTTGAATGATTTAATAATTTTTAAGCAAGCAATTAATGGTAGCTTTACAAAGAATTGCATCTTTGGAAGGAGAGGTTTCAGTTTATGAACTTAAGCAAAAAACACACAACTGGTTATTACACACTTGAGTAGGAAACTTAACCCCTGAACTTACAGAAGTGATTAACATGTAACTTCTCACTGAGATATCTATACATTAATCAACAAACAGGTAATGAGAATACACAAACTTATCAGGTAGAGGTTTTCATCTTAATCTAAAACCAAATTCTCATAGCTAATTTACAAGAAAATGTGTAGTGGAAAGAGGGGAGAATTAACAATCAGATCTTGGGAGTTTAAAAGTTAACTAAAAATAAAGGTAAATGTGCTGGTGAACCACTGATCAAATTAATACTCACGTTCTGTTGTGAGCTCAACTGCAACAAATGCATTATCCATAACCCCAACTCCATGGCTAAGAGCTTCACTTAGCTTAGGAATAACCTCTGCCTCAAGCTGCTCCCTTGTTTTTGCCTGTTGAGAGTACAAATATTAAACCCTGAGAAAAAGTTGACACTGAGCTATGCCATATTTTCTGATGTACCTAAGGTACAGAGTGAGAGTTCAAAGGCCAAGAAGCAAGGAGGGGAAAAATGGGAAAGAGGTGACAGGTAAGAAAATCTTAACCTTTAAATCCCAGAAGGGTGATCAACTTCTAATTTCTCGTTACTATACTATCCTTGAATAAACTGCTAAAGTTATAAGAATAGAGGTAATCATCACTCAACTAAGGAGCTCCTGATTGTCAAACAAATTCTCCTTGTTATTATCAGAGAAGTTGTAAAGAGAACAGCAAGGAGAATATGAAAATTAATGTTGAGGTGTAAAAGGTATGAATACCCTTAATGCAATGACATTGAGAATGATGCAAGATACCTTTTCTGGTTCAGGAGCTTTCTCCTTCTCCTCATTTGTCTCATCTTTACTGACATCCTCTTCATAAACACGCTGATAAAAAAATAGACAATTACTTAAGTTAATAAAACAGGATAAGGTGTCTGTACAGTGTAAAAAAGAGGCTGTACTTGAAACAATACTAACAATAAAGCAAGAGAAAGCAATTATAGTTAGCTTCTGTTGATAATCATCCTTCTTTTCCCTTGTAGTTTTATAAGCTGATCCATAACACAGATTAACCCTTGGTGAACTTTTGTTTAGTTTGCACCCTTGAAGAAGCTCACCCTTGCAAAACAAATGTCACAAATGGGTAAATATATAAATATGATGATATACAGCTCTGATGAGTATACCAAAAGCATATTTTAGACAATTATTTGAAGAAACACACTCACATTTTCAATGAATTGCGTATCAGACAGCATTAAAAAGTCATTCATTGTATTCTGCACTTTAGAATCCATTCCCTGTGGACAAAAAAAAGTCAGTCAATCAACCAATGAAGCAAAATACAATAAAATGTTTATGAAACTCATGCAAAAGAAATGTTGAAATTTCTTCTGGGCACAAGACTTTTCTCTAGAATAAAACATATTTTAAAATTCTTCTCCATGTTTTCATTTTCATTATGACCCATGAGGAAAATTAAAACGCAATTATTAAGAAAAACAAGACAATTATAGAGAAAAATAAATTTAACACAGCAAGCCTTTCGTGACTTAAATGGATGTTTGTATCAATGAAACAATGAAAATAAATTATTCACCCACTTTTGTACTGTTGATCAGCCCATCCACTTGAGTCTCAATGTCGTGAGTTTGTGAAATAATTCGTTGAGAGAATTCTTGCAGATAAAGGAGAAACTGGAAATTAAAAAATAAAATTTAGAGGACTACACAACAGTTTTAAGCTGATAATAATATAGTTTCCACTGAAGGCAAAGTATTAAAAGACTTCATGTGAGATGTAGTTTCTAAAAAGTAGATACAGTAGACAGTCAAAATGAAATCAACTCTATTTTCTTAAGTTTTGATGTGACATTGTGCATGGCAGTGGATAGCCTTAGCTGAGATAGCAATACTCTGAGAATCTTCTCTCCAGCCACAACTTGATTCTGCAGATATGCTGTAATCTTAGCAGAATGTCAGACCAAAATCTTAAATAATAATTTCTGTCAGAATTTGATTTCTCATATTACTTTGGCATCGAACAAAAGTCTTTACTTCGTCAGTCCAGTGTTCTTTTGTGATGGAAAAAAGTTGTACATTAAAATAGCAATTACCATATTCTCAGTATACCTTAAAGTTGTTCAGTGGAAGATCTTAGGGCAAAAAAATATAGGATTGTTTGCTTAATTTCCAGCCAAGTCATGGGTCAGAGGACTCCTGGATAACAACAAACCAATGAAGGATTCTTCAAAATAAATTGTTAACTTCCCGTGGTAGTGGCGAATATTTTGAGAAATGAGTAATGCTCGGTTGAAGGGTTACCAATAAGGTAAATAAAACTTCCTATGTGCATAATAATTACCTTTTCAAATGCCTAATTCCATGTAACAGAAGAGAAAACAAAAAATTTCCTCATGAACCAAGACAAGATACGAAATATTTCCTTAGCCGTAGAGTTTGTTTCCTCATCATGCTAGATAACAGCTGATTGGCCTGATACTTGAATACAGATATGTGTGAGGAAATGTTTTGTAGGCTAATTTGAATAATATTAAATTACCACTCCACTTTATGGTAATCGTTTTCATTTGAGGATGGCACTAAATATTTATGAGATTTCTCATAAAATATGAGAAACATATAGTGAACAGATTTGACTTTTAAGATAGAAAACAGCAACACTACTTGGTAAAGTTCAAGTAGTTTAATGACACCTAAGGTTTCCAGCTAGTGGTTTGACACATCAGTGAAGTGACGCAGAAGAGAAATGACAAAATCTCCGTCACAGAAAAATAATTTGAGAAAATCAACGATTTCCTAGCCCTATCGTTTACAGTCTTTACACGGAGTCATTAAAGTAAAACAGCCTTACCCCCGAATCAGCAGCGAGTGTCCAATTTGATGACCCCTTTCTCAACTCGTCCACGGTCCACGATCTTTCCCAGATTTTATCCTCGTTTCCTGGGGTAGTATTGGGCTGGGATGCCGTTTGAACATCTGGAGCTGGTTGGGCAGTTGTCACAGGTTGCATCGAAGGAGCTGGACCGGGATAAGAGGGAGGAATGGCCTCTCCTATAGGAGGAGGAGGCGGTGGAGGTGGTGGTGCTGGTGGAGGAGGTAGCGCCATCTTGAATATTTCTCTCTTGGCAAACACGTGACTTAAAGCCTCGATCGAGTGACGGGACAGTACGGTACGGAAGTGAATACCTTGACGCTGCAATACTAATGGTTGGCCGATTTAATTTCAAAGATCCGGGTGCATGTATCGTAGCCAAATAACAAAGATTCAATACTACGAACTGAGACGCACAGATGCTGAGATCCCCAAAGATGGAAGGCCAGAATACGATCTTTTAAGAGACTATCAAACACCGAGGGTTTCAACTCGCGATGATTTTTTACTTTTTTTCTTGTGCAAATCTCTTAAGCCTAGTGGCACTGGGCCGTTTCGGTGTGGAAAAGATTCAGAGCTTGACTAGCATGGTCTCAAATTCCGTCTGTCATGGTTTGAAAGGGAATCATGCGAGCGTAAAAAAGTATTTGTCTTTTCAAATCTGGGTGAAGAATGGAGAGAGCTAGAGAAAGAGAGAGAAGCGAGGGACAGCTTAACAGGCTGATGGGGAGGACTTTGGTTGTCATGATAAAATTTACATGAACCCCCCCCCCC